ACAGGAGAGGTCTGCTGTGCCAAGTGGGTCAGCTCCCTGGCCAACTGTGGAACTCCTGCTGCTGTGGCTGCAGACAGCTTCCTAGTGCTGCTCTAACTCTTTATGCTACCTTTAACCCTTTACGCTGTTTTCAATTCTGAAAGCACATCTTTCTTTGGAATATAGAGCAGACAAAACAATTAGATTAAGTTTGTGAAAAAGCATGGGAAGTTTGCATTAAGTGGTGCTACTATGAGGGTATTTTGGTGTCACTTTGAAACATGGGAGGGAGTTGGGCAAAGATAAGGTTAAGAGTAGAGGTGAGGGGCCTAGTGCAGATGACAATTCGCCTGCCTGCAGCAGATTACTGCACGCAAAATCAGCTTCCTTTGCTGGATGGAAGGAGGTCCTCGGACAAATGTATTTATCTGTGTCAACTTGTAAATTCCTGGCTGACGGGGGAAGACTGTATTCCTGGGAGGGGGGTACAAGGTCTAGGTTTGATGACAGGAATCTTAATACAAGTGACTCCATTTGAGGCCTATTGTTTCCTTATACGTACTGAAAAAGTTCCTTTTAGGATGCCTTAGGGACAGTCAGGGTGACTAAAAGGAGACAGGATAATATTTCACAAGAAATTGTTCTACTTTTTGACATCATTTTATAATGCAGGTGGATCATAAAGAATCCCTGATGAGGTCACAATTGGTAGACTGGTGTATGGTAAATATTCTTGGTTCTTTATTTGATTCAAAGAACTCATATTTGAAGAAACAAATATTTATTTGAATATAAGCTTTCAGGAAGCTAAATCTAAAATTTTGCTCAAAAAAAAAATGCTTTGGCTATCATTTAGCTTTCATGTTAAAATCAGAAGCAATAGCACCTATGTTGGCATCTTATAAGCAGAGGGATGTTTCATAGTGACATCTCACATCTCTCTTATTTTACTTAAAAGGAAATGGATGTGTAGGGAAATTAAGTGACTGATCAATAGCTCCCAGCTACTGAGAAATATGGGATCTATAAAGTATTTGAATAGGTAGCAATAGCAGAGCAATTACTAAGATCATTTCCTCCTTAATACGCAAGGTCATTTACTCCTTAATACTCCAAGTATATATTAAAGAGTTAACCATAAATGCTCTTTATGGAATCTCTTCTTTATGCACAATATTATTTATACACTATCTCTAATCACATGCTCTGATGTAGATCCAACTTCCTTTATTTTTATAGACAACGAAGGTGTCCAGAGGTTGCCCAGGGCCACTTTTTAATAAACAGGAGCCATGGAATTCCCTCCATGTCTATTCTCCCATCTAAGCTAGTGTTCTTTTCTTTTTATAAGAGGTTTTCAGATTACAGGTCACAATGTGATAGTGGACACAGTAGTTCACTAAGGCTATGAGACTATCCTATAGTTTGGTGGGTTCACTAGTATTTAAAATAACTACAAAGAATAGTATGTACTGGGATAGCATAATTAAATAAAAATCACATCAGTTAAAACTGAAAAAATAAGTGTTTCCAATATATATATGTTCACTATGAGATTTTTTTTTCCAAATACCACCAAGCAATTAACCCAATTTTCATGCTATCTACCTAGATAGCCTCAGCTCCCACAGCTTAAGGGCCCAGCACTACAAGACTGTTCCCCCACCTCCACCCCCACCTCTCCCACCCCACCCCCCATACACATCATGGGCCAATTGCAAGTCCATTCTGTCAGTTGTGCTGAGCCAGAAATGGGAATAATGAGCAAATACATATTTCTTAATGTAAACCACCATCACAGTGTATGTTATGTGTAAATGATGATGTTATGATATGGACTGTAGTCAGACTTGAAAGCTATTGTACTAGACCACAACTGATCAGCCTAAATCTTAGCAAAACATTGTAAACTGTATAGTTAACAATCTAACTGCAGGTTTTTTTGTTTTTAATTGCGGTAACATTGGTTTACAACACTGTGATTCAAAGTTGGGGTCATATCCCTTCATATACATGTTGAGCCATCCCTCCACCTTCGTCCATTGTGCCCTCCCCTTCTTGAATCCTCAATTCTACTGTCAAATTGTTAGGGTTTATTACTGTTCGACCCTTCTTGTTTCTCTATATCCTACATGTAAGTGAAGCCACTAAGAGTTTTGTCTTTCATTTAGCATTATCCCCTCCAGTTTCATCCATGTTGTCAAAAATGACAAGAGTTTATCTCTTTTTTAAATAACTGAATAATATTCCATCATGTATACCTACCAAATTTTCTAGGCCTTGCCTCTGTCTTTGAGCACTTATTTTGTTTCTGTAACTTGTCAATAGCAATGCAGGTGAACACAGAAGTGCATGTATCTCTTGGGATTTCACTGTGGGCTCTCATGGAGGCACTCCCCAGATCTGCTATACATTCTACCCATGACATTCTCAGTGGTTCTTGTGTTGGATTCCATCAGACTTGATTGGCAGATTATTCTCCCTCTATCCTGGTACCAACTTTCTGACATGTGAAATGGGAACATAGGTAGACATAAACAAGTCTATTCCAAGGCATTTCAGCAAGCCCCCCGAAGGCATCTCATGCATGACAAAATCTACAAATTACAGGGATGTCGTCGTTTGGTGGAAGAGATGACAAAGATCTTGAGTCACTGTCATTTTTCCACCACTACTTTGTCATGAAATAAGAGACTCTCTATAACCCACCACCCTAACAATAGATCTATGGAGTTGGAAAGAGCACAGTACATTTTCTAAACAAGAGCAAGTTTTACAGTGAGAGGAATTCGTGTTAATAGTGGTTAGTCTTGACAAAAGCCCTGTTATATGTTGGTGATCCACAGATGGAGGTCAAAGTCCAGTGGGCTTACAGGCATGGTGTCTTCACAGATGAGGAACCATCTGTGAACCATCAAGGGGTCCAATGTGACATACACTGCCATAGTAATAAGCTCAACTTGATATGGAAAATGTCAAGAAAAAATTTGAAAGTCACTAGATTGTTTAGAATCATGGGAGTGATATTTACTTCTGTTCCAGGCCTGGGGTTGGTATTTATTTCATGTTAACTCATGAAAAATCTATACTGACCTCTGGTCAAATATGAGAAATAGAAGAAACTAAATTTAGATTCTTATTGAAATAATATTCATTTTAAAAAGAAGAAATATGAACTTAAAATGCAAGGTTATCCTTGCATTTTAGAATGAATCTGTAAAATCAGTATCTTTAATAATTCTTTGTTAGCAAACTTTCTGAATATTACACCAGATATGGGAAGAAAAAAATATATGGGATTTTTGAAAAAATCAAAATCCAGTTCTTTCACCCACTGAACATTTTTTTAAAAAAGATTTATTTATTTACATTCAGAACTGGGGTAGAGACCAGAGGTATAGTGTGTGAGAGGATTCATCAGAGACAGAGTAGGGAGCAAAACAGGCAGATCGACGAAGTACACTGCTGAGGGGAGCAGCGGGCAGGTCAGGAGAGGCGTGCCACGCCATGTGGGTCAGCTCCCTGGCCAGGGATCGAACTTGTGCTGCAGCGGCTTTAGAGAGCTTCATAATGCAGTGCTTTAACCCATTGCGCTACCAGTCCCACTCAACATTTTTTAATTGCTGTTTATATAGTTGGCATTTAAGTAAGCCACTTTACCTTGGCTGCTTTTTTTTCACTTCTGTATTTTATTTAATTTTTATTGAGGTAATATTGACATATGATTTAAGGACTAGGTTCATATCTCAGATATATGTCACTACACCCACGCCCACTAAAGCACCCAACATTCTTTACTCTAGGCTATGTAACCTGTCATTCTCACTTATTTTGCAAGAATTCCCATTTGTTTTTCAGTCTAATAAAGGTCATTCTTCATCTTCCAGCTCAAGTAACATACAAGGAATCTTTAGGTTGAGTCATTCAATTTCCTTTTAGCAAAAGAAAGTCCTTTTATAAATCTATACTTTCTTTTGTGAGTATTCAAAATAACTTATTACAAAAGAATCTGGAAGGCAGAAAGAACTCAAATGCTGGCTAATTATCTACTTGTTCTTCATTGGCTATTACTTCTAGTAATTTTTTTTAAAGATTTATTTATTTATGCATACAGAACTGGGGTACAGGCCAGAGGTGCAGGGACAGTGAGAGGATTCATCAGAGACAGAGTGGGGAGCAGAACAGGCAGATCAATGAAGTACACTGCTGAGGGGAGCAGCTGGCGTCACCAGGGAGGGCCCTACTTCTAGTAATTTTTATTGCTATCAGTATTACACAAATTTGCTTCTTCTTTCAAATGATACTATCTTAAATGCAAATGGAGGAGTCTTGCCTATTTGGGGAATTTAAATACTAGTGTTATTCTGAAAAAGTCACAGTCCTCTGCAGTAGGTAATGTGCTGGTGCCCAGGTTCCAGGGAGGAAATCTAGACAGGGAGTTTCCATGTGTTTGCCAAAAGTGCCAGAGCTGACAGGTGAGGGAGCAGGAATTCACCATGAGTGGGCTGGCACCCTGCACAGGTGACCACTCCCCTGGCCTCAAAGGCCTATGACAGAAACCACATGATCACTGGCCTGTGATGGTGGATGTAAGGCTGTGCTCATCTCTGCTTCTAGCTCTTTCTGACTTTGAGGATTCTCTCAAAAAGAAAAACCCAAAAAAGAAAAACAAAACTATTACACCCAAAGATCTCCTTACTGTGTAGTTCAAATGCTCAGTCCTTTTTTTTTTTTTCTCTCTTTTTTTCTGACTCAAAGGAGAAGGGAAAGGAATAGCGTTAATAGTCTTTATAGTTAAGGATAACATATCTGCTTTTAAGAATGAGTTTTTGATGTTCCTCAAGGAAGTCTAACAGGCAAAGCACAACAGATCCAGAGTAGGTGGGGGAAATCCAAGAAAGAGAGAGATGAGAAACTGGACCTACTGCTTATCTAGAACACTACAAGCAAAACAAAACAAGGAGTTGGGGGAAAGGAAAACAGTCAAGTGAACTATCTTAGCAAAATTTCTTTCACTTCAGAATGAAGAAATACTTGATCCTAGTGATGATGGGGAGAACACTGCACAGAAGCAGCTTGAGAGTCCTAGAAGTCTCTCCCCTAGCAGGTAAGATTGCAGAACCCTTTGTGAATTCATTTAGTCCTGTGGGGGTGGGAAAATGTGGGGTGGGGGCCCTCCTCTCTAAGTCTCATCACTTATCCTTCCTGATAAAATCACGTGTTTACTACAAGTAACTAAAGATCAGATACAGTTGGTTCTTGAACAACTGGGCTACTAACAGCAGCCACCCGGTCAGTGAGCAATCAGTGTCACTTAGGCCATCCTCTATACTCGCATGCTCTGCATCCCGAAGTTTAACCAACTAACTTCAGGTTAAATCTATGAATGTGTATTTAATAATCCATGTATAAGCAGAGCCCTGGTGTTCAAACCCGTGTTGTTCAAGGGAGTCAGCTGTATTTATTCTATTTATTTGTCTACCAGAGAACAAATCTCATGAATCTCAGAAAAGCAACAAGCAAGAGCTGAAAAATGACACAGACCAAACTCCTAAGGACACTCAGTGATTAAAACAGTGGATTAGCAAGAAAATAGTAAACTATATTGACATCAACTTAATTACTGGTTCAAAAGACTTTAAAGGCTATAAGTCCCCCCTCCCAAAAAAAAATACAATTTGTACAAATTTAATACTATCTGGGCCTACAGAAAGGTGTTGACAGGCATGTGAACACATGCAGATAGGTATGCCTAAATTAGGGTCGTCAAGACCAAAATACACAAGGGGAAATTCATTTTTAAAATGAATTACAGTCAGAATCTTTGTCATTTGCCTCTATTCTAGCTTTCATCATCATTTGAGCCACATCATTTGAATTATTAAGTCTGAGCACTAATCTTCATGAATCTCATGTTAGCTCTTAGCCTGTCGTGATGAATAACCATCTTTAGGAATTTACCCCTTGATTAGAGTGAGTTAGTTTAATTAGGCTATTTTATATTTTTCTACCTTAAGGTGTATTCAAGGAAACATACAGGCTCTTACTGATATCTTTGAGTGTAAATAGCCCCATTCAGCTTATCTGAGAGTGTTAGTGGGCTCTCTGAAAAGCACCACTTGGCAACATGTTCTGTTATTTGCTAAGTAACTGTATACAGCTGTATTTTTCTAATTACTACAACCCATTCACTATTCTTATGATTATAGTTTCACTTCTATAATTATAAGATCCTTAAATAAATCTATCAGTTGATGAATTATGTTAATTTATAGTAGGTCATTAAATATTACTTCTAATGAGAAATACAAAGGGAAAACTCACAGCGTTTAGTAATACAACCATCTTAGGATCCTTGCAAAATTATTTTGAGGTAAGGCAAATCTTATTGATCAAATAGGTGATGGAAGCTATAAGATGGCTGTATTTGTTCTACCATTAATTTTGAAAACATACCACCAATCTCCTTTAGTCTATAAAAGTCTAATCTACATTGCTTTGTTCTGCTAAATGCTATAGATTTGCATTTACTGAGACTAGCATTGATAAGTAAACTATGCTTAGCAAAACAAAATTCAGATTTTATTTAATAAATAAAAAGTTTTAAGTAGTACAGATATATTATACCAGATAGTGTCCATTAAGGGTTCTGCATAATTTCATATTTGGATGACTTATTGTAATAACATTATTTGAAAAAAAAATAAATTATTTTAAGCACTATTCAATAAACTATGCACAGTGCCTCCCTTCCAAAGTTACATGTTAGCTAGAAACAAACACATGTAACAGCTAGTGGATGGCATGATAAGTGCTTATGTGTTTATTTTTCAGGGAGGGCAAGAAGAAATACTAGTGGGAGAATAAAGTTAGGGTTGGATTTCCAAGATATCAGAAGTACAGGAGAATGGGTACTTCTGGCAAAGGGAGCCACCTTACACGAGGTATAGATGGTCATGAATGACGATGTGACAGATAATAGTGACAGCGGGTAAAAGAAAGCTATGGTAAATAGAGTAGGAAAAGAAAACATAAGGCCCTGAAAACCAAATAAAAGAGATTTGACTCCTTCTGGAGGCAGTAAATCACCTTTAAGTTCTAGAGGATAAGAATATGGTAGAGGATGTTGTGATTGTGGCTTGACCCACTGTAGAATGCAGTGGCTGTGAGGAAGACAGGGTCAGGAAGAAGCCTACATTGCTTTCATTATAGAAGTAGAATGAATAACCCGGTGTTAAGAGTTCTCTAGTCAGATTCTCACTGAAGCAATGGTGTGTCCAAATACAGATCCAGTTAACCAATCGTCCCAAGTAATCACCACTTCAGTCCCAACACAAATACCCAACCATGCCTTTTTGCAAGTAAAAAATTCTATCCAGTCAAATAATTCAGATGCTTCCAAACTTTTAAAAATATGTAAATTGAATCACCTCACATACTATGCTAAGAGTTGAGCAGGAATAGCATGGGAAGCAGATCTGAGCAAACGATACACAAATATACCAAAGCACCAATGATCCAAAGCGGACCTAAGAATATTCCTGATTTTAAGGAACTAGGGCTAAATTTTAATCTACTTTCAAAACAACTAGTGACATCAAAAAAAGGGAAAGAATTTCAAAGGTGGCTTATGGCAATGGCCACAGGTTATTTCAGTTCTTTGTGAAAGATCTATTAGCAGAGAATTCTCCCACTCAGACATCCAGTTTAAGTCATTTAACAAACAAAAGAGGCATTTACAGTGGTCACATAATATAGAGATAGAAGTCCTCTACATGGACAGAGCAGCAAGACTGTGGAACAGGTATAGAGTTAGGACCATGTACTGCAGACCTCTCTGACAATAAACAAAACAAATTGATTGTAGAAACAAATGGTACTCAAACAAGAGTTTAAAAACCTTTGTGAAAATATATATCTGCTTACAATTTTCAAGTGGTTTATTGGAAAGCATAAATTTATTTTCAAAAACTCACTAATTATTTTGCCATACAAGAGCAAAATTCAAGTAATATAAATATTTAACATCTTGGTATAAAATTAATAATATGGAAAAAAGATGCAAACCAACCCAGACGTAGAAATCTTTTTAGCAATAACACTGTATAACCATCTTCTCAAGTTAGTTTATTTTCCAGACAGATAGTTTTTTCCCTCTCTTGTTTTTAAAAGACAGACTGGCACTGGAGCACCAAAAATCTTTTCCTTCCTTTTTAAAAGGCTGAAATCCTCTTATTTACAAATACTCTTTTGAGTACCTTAGTTTTGACGGAGATATCTAGCAACTCCCTTGTCATTAAAAAGGGACTGCCTTCATATTTCCTTTAAATTTAAATCTGTTCATTCTACTCTAAACAAAAACTAAAAAAAAAATACACAGTTGAGGAAAGTGCCTTCCTCAATAAATTATCTTTTTCACAAAAGTATTGCTGTAAACAAGATCCTTTCCATGGCCAGAGATAATGAGGTTTTCAAACAATAGCTAGTTGAAACAATTACAATCATCGGGATGAATGGCCGAAAGGCAAACAGTTATTAGAGTCAACTAATAAAATTCATTATAAACCTGCTATGGCAAAATGTGCTTTTGTTCTTTACAGTTTTTAAAATTGGTCAGAAAATATAATTGGTCAGAAAATATGAGTGTTAGTGATCTAGAAATCCTCATCCAACCCAGGAAGTAATTTTCAAACAAGCATGCTGGACACTACAATTTTGACATTAGTTAAAAATGAAACAAACTAGCAATGAATGTAAACAAGTTCAATTGACAAACAGAAAACAAATTTCATACAAAAATTTCTGTAAACATGAAAAATGTACCTGCAAAAATTTTATGTACATATATTCATCGCCCAGTATTTACTGGGAATTCTTTTTTCACTGTGTCATGTGCTTCAGATAGCATTTTATGAAATGATAGATCTTATTACCCCTCCTCTCACAGGTGTATCTGCAGACTAAGATTTTATATTCAGTTCTGTTGCTTTTGCCTGAAGTCACTGTTCACTCCCCTGACAACAGACAGCACCCAGTAATTTCTAGAGTGAGAGGTTGTTTGCATTTTGGCCATATTTTTATATTGCTTTGTAAAAGTTACTCTGTTAGAGCTCAATCATCTCTTTGACTACAAGGAATGTACAACCTTCCAAATGTTCTAAGTTTCATTCGAAATGACTTGCCTATTACTTTCATTATGCCTTCAGATTTGAAATAGTTCATCTTCAACTTTATCTCTGATAACTATTTTAATGAAATAATAGATTGTTTTAATACTGTAGTCTTAACTGAGGTTTAACACTCTCAGTTTGAAAATCCGAATGTGGGACAAAGTACTGTGATTCATGAGACTTTCTTGGGGAAGGAGAGACTAATTTTAGTAATCATTATAATAATCTAGGCATTAAGAATTTCATTTTATAAATGATGGAGAAAAGAGACCTTTAATGTTTTATCTTTGCTTTTGAAGTCTTCTTCATTATACTCCTCCATGTAAACTATATTCAAAGAACTACCTTCAACTAGACTGAAATTTGAATATTTAAAAACCAGTTGTAAAACTCATTAAACTAAAACCAACTTACATGAGTTAACAATGATCTCTCCTTACAAAGGACTCTATGTTTAGCAAATTGCCCATATTTTGGGTATTTTCCTAATATTAAAAAACAAACAAACATACATATAAATAGTTAGGGCAAAGATAATGACTTCTATCTAAAATTTCACATTAAACTTTGAAAAAAATGTATATTTTAACTGATGCCAACACTAGGTAAAATGGCTACATGTATGTGACAATAAGTGACCTGGCCATTGACAAAGTAGCTGTGTGCATTTCCTCAATCTCCTCTGAAGAGCCAGAGACTGTCACCAGCTTCATGTATGTTTTCCTAGGCCTATCCCCCTCTGCTCCCACCTCCATCAAGTGCTCTTTAATAAAAATAAACCTGGTCTAACAAATACATTCTTCTCTTGGAAATGTCGTACTCTTTACTTGGTACTTATAAAAGTAGTTATTCTAACGCCAAGGCACATTAATAATTTCTCTATGCCTCAAATCTGGCATTACGAGACAACATGAATTTCTTTTAGTTTGATTTGCATAAACCCCTTCTAAATGTAAATGAACTTAGGCAATGAAGTAGATAAGTTATACTGAAAAGCTTCTAGAATCAGAGAAACATTCTGATAGACTAGGCTTTCAAAATATTTCTTTGTTTTTCATATTCATTTCACTTAAGGTACAGACAAACATTAAAAGGTTTTTCACCCAACTTTGGCTCAGTGACAGGGAAAACATACAACACTTAAGTCCTACTAGACAAAAGCTGCCCTGCAAGGGTATGTGTCTACATAGTGGAGTCTGCAAAGGAGAATGATTTTAGTTAACCTGCAGTATATCTTACCAAAAAAACCTTTCGAAATCATTTTTACTTTAGGGTCTGTGGCATCCTTCCATAGGTCCTGAAGGTCCTGTACATGTCCATGAGATGTCATCATCTTCTCATAGATGCAGGGATGATAAGGAGTTTTACCTTCCCCAGAGAAAAACACATGGTGTTGTGGCACTACCCCCATTTTATTGGCACAGAGGCCCATGAACACATCGTCTATGTAAAGACTAGTGTTGAGTGTCAGCGAGGCCTCGTAGACTTTGGAGGCCACATCACTGGAGATAACGTAGGCTGCTCCAGCTGTGTAGTCCGGGTAGGCTGGCCACTGGTACATTTCATAGGGGACATAGTACTTGCTGCTTTTGTCTCGGATAGGAGGGGCACCACGATGAACACGACCAATCCAAAAATCTTGAACACCAATTTGTTCTAAACTTTGAAGGTATTCGATGAGATTCGGCATGTGGATAAATATGTCGTCATCAGCAGTCATAAGAAATTTGGTGTGTGCACAGAAGTTATTTGCCCAACTGAACTGCAGAAGTAATTTAAGAGTGAGATTGTAGAAAGAATCAACAAAGTCTTGCTGAATTATATCTTCGTACTTTTGATCTTCCCAGAACAGTTCTCTTTGTAGTTCTTCTCTCTTCTGTAGATCAGAAGGTGTTCCTAAGACAAACAGTGTTTTGATGTTGGCATTAAATTGAGAGTAGACATACCTTTCATTGCCCCATGTTTTTCTGATTGCTGCTCGGCGGTGGTAATTTTCAGGAGCAGTCTTTACAAACAGCAAAAGGAGGACATCTTGGTTTTGACACTTCTTCTCATGGTTAATCAAGTATTGGTAGCGAGTCGCCTCGGCTGAGCTGTGCTTAAGAGAGAGTGAATCATTCACAAAGTCGTAGCTATTGATGAGGTATCTGTATGAGTAGGACTTCATGTGGCTTACAACATGATTATCGAGAGGTCCCCAAAAAAACATGAGGCTCAGTATAAAACAAGTGGCAAATAAGTGAACAAACTGCCTCTTGACTCTTCGGCCACTAAACATCCTGACATCCATTCAGGTCTATTGTTACTTAGGACCAGTTTTAAAAGGGCTCTTGCTTCTTTGAGACCATAGAGCTTTGAGTTTTATACAATAGCTGTGCATCTTAATCCACGTCGGTCAATTGTAAAAAGGAACTTATATTTCACAAGACACTCTCTTGCAATACCATTTTGTCTGAGCTTGTCATAGGGGACGCTGGTGCCTTGAGACTTCCCACATAGGCATCCTTAAATTCATCGACTGGTCTCACATGGCTGTTTCATGTTCCTCTTTTGGTGTGCATTAAGTGCAACCTGTTTGAGTCAGGAAGAGAAGAGTGAATAAGTTACGGAATTACCAAAAGAAAAACACTACTCTTAAGTACTGAAAAACTACAGGTGACCTGATTTTGACAAAAACCAGCATGTAGCAGAGGTGGACAACAATTTCTTTCTTTAGGATACTCCAGGAAAAGAGAAAGAACTACTCTGTACTCTTTGCCCCATCACCATACAGAGACCCTCCTTTCCTCAAACTTTAAAAAAAAAGGAAAAAACCCTCCCAAATGAATAGCATCTTAGAGTTTTAAATGGCAACTTTCTCCGATGGATAAATCCATGAGTGCTTTGAGTTGAAACACAGGATTGAAAGTAGTTAAATAGTTCAAGGAGAAATACTGAATGAAGAAAAGTCTTTAACAGTAAAAATCTTATACTTTTCCAATACAAGGCAAGAATGAGAAAAGATTTTTTTTCTTCTTAAGCAAGGTTCATAATGAAGGCATTGCAATACTCTTCTCAAAGGTTTATTCTAAATTCTCTTTACCCAAAATGACCTTTGTTGAGTCCCAAATCTGTACACTCATCCTCTTTCTGTATTTTTTTCATTTGGAAACTCAACTGGCACCTCAAAGTTAATGTCTAAAATTGGGCATATTAACAATAGGAGGAACAATATTAGCAATAGGAGGAAGTCAACAGGCGCTCTTTGTGGTCAATTTCACCTCCTGTGCTGGCTCAGCCACTCACTATTTATCGCACTGATTTAATATCGCTAACCCAGAAATCTGACAAAGAAAAACAAAATCAGGACACCACCATCTTTATGCAGATTGAATAGAATATACATGAGTATATATGAATAGCCAGAATAGGTAATCACCTGGCACATGGGGGTACTCAGTCGCCATTTCTAACCCATTCTACTCTTTTCCACTAAAACCTGCTGTTTCACTTTCACTGTCTAACTACAGTTCATGCATCTATGACAGAAAAATGAAAATCCTCCTTTCCTCCATTTCCATATCTGGTCAGTTAATCCTGTGAATTGCTTCTAAATCTTTCTTCATCCCTTTATTGTCATCATCATTCTCTCAGAACATGCAGCACACTAAATGATCTGACCCATCTTCTACTCTCCAGTCAGTGACTTTCTAAAACTCAGATCTAGGGGGCCTCCTTGATGGTACAGGGGTTAAAGACACTGTACTATCAAGCTATCACCAGCCACTGAGGCACAAGTTTGATCCCCAGCCAGGAGGAGACCTACATGGCACAGCAGACCTCTCCTGACCTGCCCACTGCTCTGCTCAGCAGTGTACTTCGTTATCTGCCTGTTCTGCTCCCTGCTCTGACTTTGGTGAATCCTCTCACTCCCTGCACCTCTGGCCTCTACCCCAGTTCTTGTGTGAATAATTAAAAAAATCTTTTTTAAAAAAATAAGAAAAGAGGGCCCTCCGGGTGGTGCAGCGGGTTAAAGCACTGCACTGGGAAGCTTAAGCCACTCCCTCATGAGTTCCATCCCCGCCTGCCCCAGAGGAGATCCACAGGACGTGCAGACCTCTTCTGACCTGCCCGCTGCTCCCCTCAGCAGTGTACTTCATCGATCTGCCTGTTCTGCTCCCCACTCTGTCTCTGGTGAATCCTCTCACCTTCCCCATCTCTGGCCTATACCACAGTTCTGTATGAATAAATAAATAAATCTTTTTAAAAAAAAAAAATAAGAAAAGAAAGCCCAAGAAGGATAGGAGATTAGAGCCAAGCCCCATCAAAGCTTTATCCAGAGATAATCAGCACAGGTAAAATGTTACACCCTAAAGCATGGAGGTTAAAACTGCACAATTTAAGAAGCCACAACCAGAATTTTGAGATACCAGGGGGAGAATGCCAGAGCACACATAGTGAGTGTAAGTATTGTTTTGTAAAATTTTGAGGTTAATATGTATGTGCCTTCAAGATTATGATATAAAATACATTTTTAGTGCTCTTTATTTAAAAAAGCACATTTTTACTGTGCTTAATCCATTAAAAAAAAAAAAAAGCAGGAAAGACTGTCCAGGTAATAGATCAATCCCCCTGGACTTGGCTGATAATGGCTGACAAATGCTCCTATTCTAGAGGAAATGATCATTTCTGATGGTAGTAGCCACGTAAATGCCACTTTGCTCACAGCCCGCCTGCAAAGGCCTGAAGCCTCTTCTGTTCCCTCTACATTACACGCTAGGTGCAAGGTGGCAGAGATTTCTTATTGGCAGATTTAAAGATAGTTCAATCATTTAAGGATCTAAGAAAGTTCTCACTACAATGAATCTGTAGATTCTACTCCTATAGACACTGGGGAAAATAATAAAAAAGGACAGTAACCTTTGGAACCACAGAGGAAACTAGCTTCCTATGTCTGTGCAGCTGTGTTTACTAGCATGTTCTGATGCCAGCTCACTTAGCAGCTATTCACACTTGTTTGTATGTCTGAGCTTCTAGCTAGACAGTCAGCCCACAAGTATAACTCCCCCACTCACTACATGTGCTGTTGACTCAAAGAGGCTTCATCACTCTCTAGTGATGGGTCTGTTACCGATCAGGTAATAGACCTGCCACTACAGCCTAACAGCCCAAATCATTTCAACACTGCTTCCCCCACCACATATGTATTTACCTTGCTTTCCTAGATCAACTTTCTGAAAAATACTAAAGAACCTGTCAAGAAGCCAACACCCAGTACTAATTTGGATTGAGTACAGCTTGTGAAGGTCTGAAACAAGATTTCTCCAGTCTCCACAGCTTGAGTGATTCACATAAATCATTACCAGACCTCACTGATCTAACAAGAGAAGATTTAGGAAGGGAAAACTGCCCTTGAATAGTATCCCATTTCTCTTTTACAACACAAGTACTGCTAAATTCCTCTGAAATGAGTAACAGTCATTGCTATTCCCAGCAGAAACAAAAGCACCTCCATGATATCAATTCGTTAATCGCAACTAACCAGTGCTGATCCCCCCTGGTCCCCAGGTTTTGCTGATGGAGACCATGTACGTGCAGTCAATGTTGACCTTTCTGGTTCACATAGCACTTTATGACTTCTCTAAAGCAATCTCCCAGCTTCCAAAGTCAAAGAGCAGAGGTAGGGACTGAGGAGAAGCCCACTGGCCTGCTGACATGCAGAAGGAAAATGCTGGGCCTTACAGGAAACAAAGTGATTCCAATAATGAATGCGCGCTCAGCCTTCCCAACAGAATGCTGTGGGCACAGTCCCCTTTGTGTGGCTGCAGCGTGGTTCAAATGACCAGTGACCAATCAACAATGCAAAACTCCATGGCTACTTGCTTTGGGGACTAGATTTATTGTATAGCCTTGGGCCATCCTCACTGCACTCGGATTTGGTGATTTAATTTGCACACTGAGGGTGAATATTACTATACTGTAAACTGAGGGTAAATAAAAATTACAGATGACTTTAGAGGCTACTGGAAAAAGGAGATAGGAAAGATCATAAAGGAGAACAGGACAAAGAACTGCTCAGAGGAAAATATGCAAATATTTGGAAAGGACTTGGGTTTCATTCTATTTGGATTGCAAAGAAGGGGCAGATATCCTTAAAATGTTCTCTTTCTTAATGGAAGTAGTCAGAAGAGTAAAGTAGGAACATTAGGAAATAAGGTAGCAGACCCCACCCTAAATATTTTTCAGTCTGACAGCTGTATCCCTAAGGGATTCAAAAGAACTTTTCTTCACAAGAGAACTCTTTGGAATGCATCTAGAAGCTTTAAGTTGCTGCATGACGACCTCTTTGATTATTTTTTCTACTTTACCTTTGCTGTCAACTCACTTCTTTATTGAGTCTACTTCTGTGATCCTAAAACATTATACAAAATCGACTGTAAATTCTGATGGTGAGGGCTGCATTTTGAATCCAAGTTAAGTAACCCAGGTGTTTTAATGCATTTGACAAGTATAAGTACTGGCTATGTCAACACTTATGCCAGCATGGGGGACTCATCAAGTAGTACTCAAGTCTCCAATCTGAAAGTAACTACGGTTTAATAGTTCCTGTGGACATCAATCAGTTCATCACAGTGAGGGCACACCGTGTCTGTGCTCACGTGGGCAATCCCAGCTTCAGGCACAAGAGGAATACCTCTAGGAGCACAGCTCAGTGACAGTAGGACCGGGAGGGCTTCAAGGAATAGGACTTAGGTAGCTGCAGGAGAGGAGTGATCTGTTCAGGGAAGACAAGAAAAATTTGCAATATGGGGCTCTCTCTGATGGTCTGCTGCACCGCATTATGAAACTCTATGAAGCCACTGCAGCACGAGTTTGATCCCCCGCCAGGGAGGTGACCCACATGGTGCAGCAGACCTCTCCTGACCTGTCCACTGTTCCCCTCAGCAGTGTACTTCATCAGTCTGCCTGTTCTGCTCCCCACTCTGACCCACCATATCTGTGGCCTGTACCCAGTTCTATAAATAAATCTTTAAAACAAAAATTTGCAATATGGCAAATATTTGAGAAACAGGCATATATTTGAAAGCAAGAAGTTGAGGTCGCTTGTGGAAAAGCTTGAAAACAAGGCAGAGAAGTCAAGGAGTGCCAAGGGCAGCAGGAAGTCACCAAAATTTCTGGTTTTGTTTTCCTTGCTAACGTGGATTCTGCCTGCACAAAAGGACAGATCTCGCAGCAGTGTGCAGTGTGATGTGGGGATACTGTGTGTTGATGAAGGAGGAGGTAATGAGGGATGGTGGCACTGGGAGGAGA